GGCCTGGCTGCAGTAGCAGCAATGCCAGGAGGACTCGGTGGGGATGAGCTGATCAGAATCCGGACACGGAGGAGACGTGTTCCCTGCCAAACGCGGGAGCGAGGTGGGGAGCTGCAAGATGCCCTCTGCTCCTCCTGGCCAGATGGTCCCTGGGCACAGCCAGCCCCTTCCCGGAGATGAGGATGGGCTGCTGTTTGCCTGCTCACAGCCCCTTCCCAGCCCAGGGTCCCGCCTGCCTTCCCAAGCCAGCGTCGCCTCTGGGGGTACTGCCACAAAGCCCTCCCGCAGCCCAGCCAGGGCCGCGCCGAGGAGCACGGTTTGCTTCTGGTGTCAGCCGTGCCGGGAGACGGCAGCGGGCCGGCCGACACCCACCGCCCTGCCCGCAGCGGCCCCGTCCCAACAGCCCCCCAGGAGTCAGAGGGTCAGCAGGGCTGGAAGGACAAATGGAATAACGGGGAGGAGAAAGGAAAGAAAAGGCAAATTGTCGTTCCAGGGCTGAGATGCAGCCGGGGGCCTCTCTAAGAGACGAGGGGGAAACCTCCCGCGGCTGCTTGCTCTCCCCTGCTGGGCCCTGCCCTGCACAGCCCCCGGCTGCCCGGCCATCGCTCTGCTCCCATCCTGGTAACACCTGAGGACAAAACCCAACATCACCCTTGTTCAGAGGAAACACCTTCCCCAGGGCTGGAACAGACCAGCAAGGACTGACCCCGAGTGCTTTAACTGCACAAGTCGGATCCCAGACTTCCCCAGGTCTTTGCTGCAGCTCTGGTTATTTATTTTTATGAAGTTAGTCTTTTCTGACGAATCAAAAGAGAATTATGATTATTATCACTACCATTATTTTCTTTTTCCTAGCAAGGAAACAGCTTGTTTGCCATCCTCTTCCCTCTGGAAGCCCAGGGATTAGGTGGCACTGGATGTTTTTTAAAGCAAATCTTGCAGGCGGCGAGCGGGAGCGGTGCGGCCCCCCACCCGCGGCAGAGCTGGCGGCCGAAGGCTCGGTGACAGCAGGGCACAGCTTCAGCCCCATTCCTGCACGTCACCAGCCCACGCACACGATCCAGCCCAACGCTCGGGGCACCTCCTGGGTAAGGGGGACAGCAAAGCAAGCCCGGGGCTGAATACCTGACACAGGGTTTGCCCGATTAGGGAGACAAAAATTATTGCCATCGTGTCCAGTCTCTTCGCAGATCCCCAAATGGGGCAGCATACAGCACTGGGACCAGTCACACAGGGCCCTGTCCAAGCTGTGCAGGGATCTGGGGGCATTTGGGGTCTGTAGGAGTAGGGCACGAGGAGCCTTTGGGTGTGGGTACGGGACAAGCCCTCGGGGACCGGGGGGACTTGGAGCATCTAGGAATTAGTTTAATTGTGTCAGAGTCAGACCCCAAACTCGGGTCCTTCCACGTGTGCTGGCTCCAGCGCACACCGTGCTCCCGTTAAAGATTAAGCTGCCCTGGTGTGCAGGGTCCCACAGCCGAGCTCCAGGCATTCAACCCGTCTAGGTAATTACTTAATTAATGAGCCCTTTAGCTTCCCACTGCCTCTTTGCCAGCAGCTGCCAGGGATTGCCCTGCGATGCAGGGGGAATGCCAGCACCGCTGCGTACTCGCCTGCGGCACCGCTCCACGTCGGGGTCCTCGCGGTAGTACTGCAGCCCACCGTTGCGCAGCGCGTCCTCCGGGTTTGCAAACGCCTGCAAGAGAGAGTCGCCATAATATATATGCTTATAATATTTTCAGGAACTTCACAGGTAGAAGCTTTGCCCCCCGTCTTCAAGACCTGCAGGGATTTCTTCCTGCCCTGGTTTCTCATGACCCTTCACAAACACGGGAGCGACTGCACTTCCATCTGCACGGTGCTGCGGGGTTAAACCGTGCACGTCCCGAGGGGTTTTCCTTATCCTCCGAAAAAACCCAACTCTGCCTGCTGAGCAGGTCCCAAACCGGGGGCTTCTAGGGACCTCTGGCTGGATCCCAGTCCGCTTCTCCCCGTGAAACCCATTTAAAGGAGACTTTGCCAACCACCAAATGAGATCACCGCTGGCACAGAGCTTCCAGACGCTGAATGCGGCATCCAAAAGATAACCAGGACTGACAGATTAGTTCACCCTACTGAGAGGGAATATTCCCTGACTGGGTTTTTGGCAGTGATACTGTGTGACTGAAACCAGCCCCAGGGAAATTGGATCCTACACTAATAAACTTACAAATAAAAATTATTTATACGAGCTCCCCACCTATGCTCAGAAGCTGTTCCTCAGGGACCTGGTTACACACAAGAGTTTCACTTTGCAGCCTGGAAAGGACCTTGGCGCTTTCTTTAATCGTGTTACAAGCCCAGACTGTCCCAGGGCTGGAGCATCATTTAGAAACACCAGGGGAGAAGCCAAATCATCTGTTACAGTGATGCTACAGCGCAGGAATATCTATCTTTGTGTTTTATCTGAGAGCAGAAATCTCTCCCTCCCACTCCACTGATGTAGTCGGAAACTCCTCAAATACTTTAAAACAGATTTTAAAGACAGCTGAGTTTTGCCACAAGTTCAATTTGCGTTGCGGGCAGCAAAAGATCTGGTTAACCCTGTCTCCTGACAGCAGCTAGAGCTCCTGGTCCTCCCTGTATTTTCCCCTGTGACCAAGAACCATTTCCTCCAGCTATTGCTTTTATTTTCCACGACTTTCTGCTCTCCTGGAGCATTCACACAGCGATTCAAAATCCAAAAGCACAAAAGCTTTCTGCTACATTGCAAGAAAAAAGACCGTTGCAATAATTTGTTCTTAAACCCTTTTTTAAAAAATCTCCTTTTCTTTCAGACATGGCAAATTAACTGTAAACAGTCTCTTTCCAGAAGCAGCTCACCTGTGTGGCATTTTAGATCTGAAATTACTATTTAGATTGGGATTCAGAAATTATAAACATCAAGCTACAGATGGGAGAAACAAACAAAAAGAGCCAAAGAGAAGCGAGATATTTATCTGCTGCAGCTATGAAACATGTTTTGCTTTCAACTTAAGCCAGAGAAAACTCAGCTTGCTTCAGGAAAACTTTGTCGGCCTTTACAGGAATAAAAGAAGAAAGAAAAACCACAGAAACCCAAGGGAAAAGCCGGAAAGGGAGAAAAAGGTAAAGGAAACTGGAACTTACCTTCTTTCTGAGTCTCACTTGTCCCGTAATGATGGCAACGACATACATTTTTAAAATCAAGATCGTGCTGTAGAACGTGAATGACATAAACACTGTGTTTTCCATCATTTGGGGGGAAGGTGCCAGTCGGTCGCCGGCAGCACTCACAGCCAGCGGAGATCCTGCTTGGGCTGCGAGAGGGCTCTGCGGGAGAGGGGGCAGGAACAGCCACCTTTAAAGACAACAGAAGTCACCGCTGTTTCTTCGTCGAAAGCCCACAGCCCCGGCAGAGCCCTCCGGGCCGGACAGGAGTAGAAGATGCAGCAGAGCTGACGGTGA